GGGCCTTCTGTGCTGCTGCCCCCCGGCCCGTCTCAGGCCGCCGGCTGGGACCGTGGCTCCGGGTTGCATGGGGACAGCCGTTCCCTTTTCCGCCCCACTCTTCCCAAGGGTCTCCCGACACACCGCCCGCCCGACGCAGGGCTCCCTGGCATGAGGGAGAGGGCCGCAGCCTGCCGGGTTCTTCCTAATTTGCATGGGAGCCAAAGCCCGCTGTGGAAAGGGTTATATAAAATTGTCACCCTGAGTCACTTGTATTTCCCTTCTACTCTCCTTGCAAGAGCATAGCCCAGGTGTACCTGCTGAAACTTCCTTCTGGGAGGCAGGGCCATGCCTTCACCATAAACCTGCAAAGTTTTCCAGGTGTGGGGCTGGGTGAGAATGGGCCAAACCCTTATTCTTCTCAGGGACTCACCCTGCACTCCGAATGGCCGCCAAATCTGAGACAGGGATGGGGACTGGGCGGGTTTATCCGCGTGCTGCTGCAGGGTTTTCACCAGCAAAGAATCCCAAGTGACTTCCAGCCTTTCTTTATGACACACGGTGTTGCCACGACTGGAAACAGGAAAGACAGTGTTCCTCTCACTAGCTACGCTTCTGCTTCCCCCTTACAAAAAAGGAGCTGGAAGTGCTGTCAGGGCCCTGCAGACGCATTCGCCAGCTACAGATATCGGTGCTCTGGAAGTGCTCTGGTACACGGCTGGAGCTGGTATGCAAATATTTAAATAGATACCGTCTGAATGCAAATATTTTTTATTCGAAGGCCAAGAGGGAGGGAGGAAAATGCAGTTATCAGTAGTACCATGTTGGTGAAGCAGTTTCGGAGGCAGAGGTATGTTTTCTGCTGCCCATTGTAACATTTAGACAAACAGTCTCTCGGGAAGGTGCTGCTATAATCTTGCAAGAATTCTGTAATAAATTAATAAATTAAGCAAACGATTTAATGTACAAGGAAGTTTTGCAGCTAAACAAGTCATTGCCCAGGTACTGCGTGCTGGTTATGCTCCTGTTTGCCTTCACCAGTCATGAAAAAGTAGCCAAGTATCGTAAGCAGAGGAACCACAGGTAAAGCAAGCCAGATTGAGATTAATGTGAGAATATGTGTTTGTTAGCAAAATAGGTTTGGGCATGTTGTGTATTTGTGCCTTGGTAACGTGGAGCTACTCAGTGCAGAGCTTTACGTGTTCACTTGAAGATACAACAAAATTTTCCAGTGTAGGTAACCCCCCGCACCCCCAGTTTCAAACATGTGCCCTTAACTGCTGCATGTCCACCCTGTCTCTGGCTTTTCCACATCTGCACCTTCAGAAAGGTCTTCTGAGAGTGGTTTCGGTGATAACCTGCCTTCATGCTACCTCCTTGGCACTCTCACAGTCCCATGTGTAGGACTTGGAGCAGCAGTTCCTTACACGTTTATTCTGCCAGCATCACCTCTTCCTCGTTCAGCCACCACAGCTGCTATTAGCAGAGCATGCTAGCTTGCTCTTGCTTGTCCTCCTCCTAGTGCTTCCCCACGCCGTCCCTGGGTTCAAAACACTCTCCCAGCACCTTCGTCACCTGCCCTGGGAGGCTCAGCAAGCTTGAAGAGCAGCCATGCTTCTGCAGACCAAGGTCCTGTGAAGCTCAGTTTTAGTTTCCTGACTCTGATGCTTTCTCTCCATTAGCCTCCTTCCTCTCCTCAGCTCCTGCCATGCCTGTGTTCTCTGCTCTTACTGCCCTCAGCACTCCTATCTGCCCCTGCCTGCTCTTTTCTCCCTTCCAGAATGAGGACCTTTCCTCAGGTGCCGCCTCCCTCTCCTCCTGCTACACCAGCTCACCGTGAAGTCATTCACCCATCATGACATTGCATTGCATGAGGCTGCATTTTTGTTTCCAGCCTTTCCCCGCTGCCCATTCTTGTAAATCTCTTTGATAATCCCACAGGGATATTCCCATACTTCCTTATATTGCACACAAAGAGCTGAACTCCCCATTTCCTCCCACACCCTCCTCTTCTTCCTCACGCTCCAGCTCCCTGCAGGCTGCCCTCGCCCCAGCCACAGCCTAGGGGCCACTTGCAGTCCCTCCTCTCCTGCCTTTCAGTTCCTTCAGCATCGACCCTGGACTTCTCAAGAAACTTTTGGTGGTGATGGGCTGCCAGGACGGCAATGGTGGAGGCCAGAGCCCAGGGCCTGATTTTCCCGGAGTTAATTGGGAATCCTGCTCTTGCATCCACTGCGGCTTTGAAAAGTGTTAAAGGCAAGGGCAAAAGGCAACCCTGCACCAAGGGACATGCGCAGGGAGGCTGTGTCCTCCCACTCGCTCTGGTGACAGCCTGACCTTTGCAGTCAAGAGCAAAATCCTTTCACTGCCTTCCCCGCCTGGTCACTCTGCCGCTCTCGGGTTATGGAGCAGCATGCTCCTCTCACACAGCTTGGGCTGTGCCAGCTGGGTGATAGATGGTGCACGTCTCTGAGCTCCCTCAGCAGAGAGAGGTGGGACGGGCAGCCCTGGGAGCTGCCTGCCCACCTGCCTGCTGATGGGCTTGGGCATCATGAGGGGCCACAGTCTTAACCTGTGGGCCTTAACTGTTGCTGTCCTCATCATCATCATTCAGTGTTTTGATGTTAGGAAGGGGCTTCCTACTGACTACTTAGCATTTTACACACCAAGAAGAACTAAAGGGCCAGACAGGAGCCAAGGGACAGTGCTCACTGACTATGCATCCTGCATCCAGCTGGTGGACACCAGCCTGCCCCAGCAGAACTTGATGCCCCAGAAGGCAGTGAGGCTACCAGGACTCTTAATCTATCCCCAAAAGTGGCAGCCCCACTGCTGCTGGCTTTGCCCCACAGCTTCAGTTCACATTTGGATGAGCAAGATGGTTGAGCGAGGAAAGGAAAAGGTGGAACCAGCAACAAAACCTAAGGAAAGACACTGTGATCTCCAAGGGAGAGGACAAGTATCGTTTGTGAGTTGTTTCAATGGAAAATCCGCAGTGATGATGGACTCTGGTCCAGGCAGGGGCCCAGCACATATACCATTTTTCTGCAGAAGCTGAGCTGTGGAAATCATTAACTATCTGGCAGTTGCTAAAAGGAAGAATTGCAGAACAGAGTGCAGGGACAGCTGGGAGGACCCTCTCCCTGGAGGAAAGCCCGCTCTCACTTCGAGGTGTTGGAGGAAGGGCCTTTCCAGCATTCATGTGCTCTCAGCACTGGCTCTTTGCTGGGGAGCGAGAGCTGTGCAGGATCCCATGGCACGGGGGATCAGGAAAGTCCTGTCACCTCCTGCCAGCTGGGATGGCACATGCCACCAGGACGGCTGCTGCACAGCCTGTCCCTGTCCCCAGCAAGCACCTGTCACACCTCTGGCACCTCTCACCTCCCGGTCTCAGCTTTATCAGGCCATAATGTAAGCAGCCAAAGTCCAGAGGGGTTGAAGCAGACACTCCCCCCAACACCCTGGAGGTCTGACCGCCCGCCCTCCCTCTCTCCCCTTGCTCCACCGTTCAGATTTTTCCAGGACCATCTCCTTATTCAATTTTCCGAACAGGACTTTCCAGTCCTTGTGAGAAGAGAGCTGGGGTTTTCCCTGCTGAGTCCTTTCTGCAGTTTTACTCCTTCACAGCAGCCATGAGGCGCAGCACCAGGCTCCATCACCTTTCCAGCAGCGGGAGTGCAGCCTCCTGCCTGCCCACCACCAGCCCCAGGGGCTTCCCTGCTCCGAAGAAACAGGGATCCACCCCTTTAATTTAAATCCTTTCCCATTCCCAGTTTTAGCTAATTCATTTTCCTGCACATCTTTCCAGGGAGGCTCTTCATCCCTCCAGCTGAAAGCTAAATACGAGCAAATGTGTGCAAAGCTCTGCAAGAAAGCAGGAGCCTTAAAACACAAACATTTTTAACCCGCACGCACCCCACGAAGGGCACATGGCTATGACCGCAGTGCAACACTTAACTTGGTTAATTATTACCCCTGGATTTCAGTAGCTTGGAGGAGGGAGTTTCCCAAGGCCCTACGGAAGATCTCCGTGAGCGCTGCCGCTCCGCTTCAGCAGCGCTCCTTGTTTGCGCCGGGCCGTGCCCAACGGGTCGGGCGAGACGCAGCCCCCCCCGGGGGGCACCGCTGGGCGTGGGACCAGAGCCCTCAATTCTACTTTAACTTCCTTCAAGATAGGATGTAGCTATTTGCCCTGCG